CTGTCTGACTGACTGACTGCCTGTCTGTCTCTCTGGACAGAATCTGATTTCCTCACCATATGGCATGTTGTCAGTGTGTTTCTGTGTCTGTGTGTGTTGTGCAGGATTAAAGCTGAGATGGTCAGTGTGTCACCAAGATCAAACCTGCAGTGCGTCTTAAAGGTCCAACCAATATGTATATTTAAAAAAAAAAAATCATAAACAATAGATAATATACTAGACTTACAATTCTAAATGTATTCATCATTAGTATTAATTTATATTTCAATTTTAAATCAAACAGGTTGTTCTGTTGTCCTGATATTTAAGATTTTTTTTTCCCCAAATTTGCAACATTATCCAACATTATGTCCTCTGTGCATGTGCAGTGGGGACCATGCTGACTTTGGTTGTAATGTGAATGGAAGAATTTGCACAAATGAGCTGCAATGCCTGGTGTGGGTGAAAGTTGATTTTGCACAAAAGCAGTGTTTCAAAATTTACCCAGCTTAATCTAATTAATTCTTAATTCTGAGCAGTTTCTGTGTGCCTCGTCTCCTAAATTCAATAACATTGTTTGTTCAATATTTATGTTGTAAGTAGCCCATGTTAAATACTTAAATCCCAGATATTTGTGGGAAAGAGCATCATGTCTCCTCGCACACAGTGCAAGTAGACAGCTGGCTGTTATATGATCTATTAGGGGTGTAACAATTCTCTGATTTGCCCCTAAAACACTACATTCAAATTGAAACTTTTGTGTAAAATTTCACACTGACAGTCTGTGTGGACCGCTGAAATACAAAAAAACAAACAAACAAACAAAAAAAAAACAGAAGTTTGCTCTGAGCCAAGAAATAGTGAGGATTCGGTTATTTTGGACATAGCTAGGGTACCTGTTCTCCAATGTTTTCATGCTAAGCTAGCTGTTGGATGGCTGTAGCTTCATATAAAGATGAAAAAAAGGCTAAAACTCCAAAGTGCTCACTGAGGAAGAGGCATGATGTGTTGACATATCTGTCTCTCCTTAATGGCAGCTACAATCCTTAAACATAAGCAGTTCAGGTAAATGGTTTAACCACAACTTTGAACTGGTGCTCAGGCTGGCTCTGTTAAACAGCTGGTAACCATAGCAACAGTAGTGATGGTTGTCCACCTTAGTTACCAGCTCACTGACTGCTCTGAAATCATATCATGTCAGGACCCTGTGGTTATGTTTACCTTGGCTGTGTTGCAAACACAGTGAAACTCACCTGTAGTCACTTGGTGTTCGTGGGAATCAGCTTCCTGCCTGGGAATTTTAACTGATTTCTATTGTTCAGGAATTAGTCTCATTAGAGCCACTGAATACTCCCATCTGTCTCACACACACAAAAACACACACAACGAGCTTGCAGTATTAATTAGTTATAATGAACCACCATCTCACCACAACCTGTCACTAGTACACAGCAGCCCACCCTGCTGCCACCTGATTGGTCGGCAGGTTTACCTGAGAGGAGGTGGGCAGAGGCGAAGGAGGCGGGGCTACACGAAGCAGAGTAAACCTGTGATTTAGAGTGAAACTGATCCTGCTGTTAGACATCTGTCTGCTGTCTCCCTCCAGACTTCAGTCACGCCGTCTGTCTGCGGTTTGTTTGTTCTCAAACTCTGTTTGGCCAATCACCAGCCAATCGCATCACACTTAGCAAGAACGCAAGCTCCTGATTGGCTAGCTTTAAATTACAAGAAGATCTGTTACTGGTAGAACCCACTCATGATGTCCCAGTTATACATCTACAGCTGGCGGATTGTGTTCAGGATGACAGAACCACAGATCTAGAACAGGTAGAATGTTGTGACAATAGATCGAAACAGTCTAACTCGACGTACGTGATCTTGAACAGGTAGAATGCATCCAAAACTACACAATTATACCTTTATGACTGAGAGAATGATGTGACAATAGATCTAGAAGAGGCAGAGGCTGCCTGGAATTACATTTAGAAGAGGTAGAATATTGTGACAATGGATCTAGAACAGTCCAATGAGGATTACAGGAACACAGATCCAGAGCAGGTAGAATAATGTGACAATAGATCTAGAACAGTGGACCTACAATGAGATAAGCACAGACCTAGAACAGGTAGAATGCATCCAAAATGACACACATATACATTAATGAGTGCTTAAAATCATATCAAATCATATATCATTATAGACCTACAGCAGGAGCAGTCCAAACACAATACCACAGCTACAGATCTAGAACACGTAGATCCACCCAGGAAGAAGACGGTAGACCAGTCAGGTAGAGTCCACACAGGACAATATAAGTCTAAACACACAGAACATACCTTGGACTACATGACTTCAGTTTCAGACTCTTGACTATGGTCCTATAATAGACAAATCCTGGTATATCTGACAGGTAAATGAAACTACAGATACAGAACAAGTAGAAGCCAGACATGGCCAAGGAACAATAGAAGTAGAACAGGAAGGACCCAGCTAAGATGATATTTGTGTAGACCTACAACAAAGAAATCTCCTTGGACAACACAAACTGATAAAGAAAAACACTAGTATGATAGATTTAGAACAGGTAAGACTCTGCCTGTTCTAAGCAGTTACAGATCTACGAACAGATAGAGACTATTCTGAGTGATCCAACTATAGATCTACAAGATTCAGAACTAACCCTGGGCAATCTGATAATCTGAGCATGAACTTAGAAAAGGTAGGAGCACGTTATAAAGGGCAGCCATTGAAAGACTGGTCTCGCCAACAATAAAATCAATACAGAACCCATCAAGGACAATGCAGATACACATTTTCACAAAGTGACTACAGAACTAGTGTAATCTGACCACAGATCTGAAACAAATAGACCATACCCAGGACGATGTGCAGGGCTGCAGTGACTGGATCTCTGACTCCATGAACCGAACAGGAAACCACATCTGTAGAACCTGCAACAACAGAGAGACAGACAATTAATAAAAGCACCAAAACACCATCAAAAGCAGCTTCTCCATAACACAAATGAGGATGTTTTGTCTCACCAGCAGGAATGATTCCCAGAGGCAGCACTGCTTTCACTGGTTTTACTGGAGAATCTGCATCCAGCTGAGCTCTGAGGACCAGAGCGTGGCATAGCTCCGCCACCGAACCGTCCCCACCCACACACACCACCCTGACAGACAGGTGGACACAGACCAGTATGAGGACAGGTGGCTATGGACCAGTATGAGGACAGTTGGTTATAGACCAGTATGAGGACAAGTGGAAAGGCAGATAGAGACAGACGTCATTTCATCTAGGTTAAAATCCAATAAGACATTTCACAGATCTTAAAGTTTTGATGGCCGACAAGAAAACAAGTGACACATCCACACATGTGACTTATTTTTACCATTTTTTTTTTTGGAGCAGGTAACCTTAAATATAGTACATAGCCATTAGCAAAAGGTTTGGCTCTTATATCAGAAAATTGAGTGTTCACTGCCTTACAATGGGACTGGATGTTGAACCCGCATGTTTTTTTGGCACTAACCAAAATGCATCTATATAAAGACCATAAGACTAGCACTGAATGTCTGATCACATTTGCAGTCTTGAGAACAAATTATTGTAATAGATTTTAATAGTTTGTATTAATATTTTAGCGCTGCAATAGACAGAAGACCTGTCTAGGGTGTCCCCTGCCTTCACCCTGAGTCAGCTGGGATAGGCTCCAGCCCTCCGCGACCCTAGTGAGGATT